GCACGTCGGCGGTAGTAGGTAGTGAATAAAAGAATCCGTCGGCAACGAATTCGTATTTACAAGTTGAGCAAAAGCCACGCCTAGACGGATTACGCGCGAGTGCCTATGTGCAGACGGGCAGTTCATAAACATATGTGCTGTGCACGCCCACGTGTGTGTGAAAATCAAGAGGTATAGAGAGGAAACCGCAGAAGCTGAAAAATACATTCACATTTACGCTTTTCCAACTTTTATTACGTACCGGAAATATGCGGCGCCTTGCATGCCGGATAAAAAAAAACCACCGAATGAATAATGTGTAACTGTAAAGACTTAAAAGAAGGACCGAATGGATCCCAATGGATGTGTTACGCATTCAATTTCAACGTATAAGGATATATTATGTGTTTAGAAAAAAAAACATGCAGTTATATATAGAGATACAAATTGAAGTTCTTGATTCAAACTAAATATTTACAAAAGAATATACTATCTACTTAAAGTTTGAATAATGTTGCAAATGTAATGATTTTCTGATAAATGGTCGGTTTCCAGTAATAAATTCTAATAAAAGAATAAATTATTATTATTATTTTTTTTAGAACTTTGATGAAAGTTGTTTGAATATAAGATGTGACACACGCGTTCGTTATTCCAACAGTTGTACACGTCTACTCAGTAAATTTTAAATTTTAATCCTCAAGTTGCTTCGCATTTATTTTCTTACGATATTAAAAATTCAGTGAAAACCTTTAACAATAATTCAAAAGGAATTCAGTATTAGTTTTTTACATCAGGACTGAATAGTTTTACATAAAAAATACTGTATTATTTATCTACATATATATATATATATATATATATATATATATATAGCTTTCAGTACTAGACTATTATAGCTTGACAAATACATATAAAGATATACCTTTGTATAGGCTGTTAATATTGCGGAATAACGTATAAATAGCTTACAGAAGAGCCCGTTATAAAATAACAATAGATTGTTTGCACAGTAAATAAATACATAAATATATATTATAATGAATAATTTTTGAATAATGAGTGGAATATTAGGTATGGAGATATAAATTTGCGTGAAACTTCGGTTAGGAGGGAAATTAGTTGAGCAATAAATTACAGAATTTAAAAAGAAATAAATTTTTGAGACAATTTCTAGTAGATAAATTTCACTAGTTTCAGCATACAATTTATATAGAGGTTGAACATAATTTTCATTGATCTCGTTTGATGGAGTTTTTTTAAATGTTTTGTGAATTCTGTTTCTTGTTGTAAATCAATAAAAATTCTCTGTACGACAGAAAGTCTTTAAAATTGAGATGTGTGATCCGAAACATGGAGCGCGCTTAGCCGGAAGTTCATGCGAATTATTACAACCTGTGGTAAGATGATCTTGGCTAAATTTTACGCAAAATCATGTTTAAAAATACATTAGCGTGTGCCCGTATGACTTGTTTCGCATGCAATGTGAGTGACGTTGAGGTTTTCTTGATCTAGGACTTTCGATGAATACTTTAAAATTAAGTTGTTTTGTCAATTTAAATATATTTCAATTTAATTCGATGATAGAAAGGTCAATGGTATAAAGTTACATTGGTTGGTTGATGGTACTATTAATAATATTACTATCATTAATAACGAAGAAACCCAGTTTCATTAGGGGTATTTTAATATTTTCAATTTGCTGAAGGTAGCGAATCGTCACTACAATCTGACACATATTACGCTGTGCAAAATGTGTAGATATTCTTGCGATGATAAAATTCAAAATTTTGTTTTGATACTTGGAATCGAAATTTTCAAAAATTCTTTAGGTTACGGATGAAACCATCTTACACATCTATTTTATCATGCAATAAGAATGAAGTAACTCGTTAATTCATTGAGATCGAACATATTTTTGATGAATATTGAAGGTGGGTTACGAATATTCATACACATGAAGGTAGTTCCAGCGAAGATATGTCGTCACACCATGCAATATAGAATATGAATTTGGAATTAGAGAAGATAAGGTTGAGTTATTGGAGAGGCTGAGTTATCTGAAGGTGTGGCGTATCTGGTTGGAGAGACAAAGATCTTGGATTTTTTATCGATAGCTTTAGGAGACGACAAAGTTGACGATGATGAAAACAGATTACGTTTATATTGCGTGTTTCTACAATGAATGTTCGGTTTTATATAAATATTAACTTATAATGAACAATGAACATTTAAAAGAAGGCATGGCAGTTGCGATAGGGGTAATGTGTGCAATATGCGTATTTAATCTGCAACGATCGACATAGCACTGGCCTTATGGCCTTATTATTATTATTATTGCTCTTTGTAGTTGATCATTATATTTGATATTAATTGATTTAATCATATATACGAGTTATATCTCCAATGAATTTTAACATTATCGTGAACAAAGAAAATATTATTTAAAATTCGAAAGTAGAGCGTACTCATTAATTAAATCATAATATGTTTACAGTTCGATATATTAATACTTATACAAATTGGTTGAATTCAAAACAATTTAATATAATAAATTTAAAATAGTATGTGTATACTTACCGCCACTAAAAATATGATAAACATTTGCGATAATTATAATGCAAATTATTTAGTAATTAATTAATTTCCATCGCACGTAATAATAATGGATTATGTGCTTTCAAGATGAAATTGTGCTTGAAATTAGTGGATGCGTGCGATTTAAGAACGACGAACAAAAACCACATGCATGTTAAATTTGCTGATACATATATATATATAAAAAAACGCTCGTTTACACCTCTAGAAAACCCATCCGATATGGACACTTATATTAAACTATTCATCCGCCGTGTAAAAACGCTCAGTCAACACGGGGCTTAAAAAAGATGAAACGACCCATTTTATGAGAGTTAGACCTTTGAAATTATTACACGTCATCCATCACTCTTTTGGACTTCGACGAAAAAGAGGAAAAAACCAAAAATTATAGATTTAACCTGCTTACCACCGTATAATATATAGGTACGTATTATGAGGGTGTGCGAAGGTGTATATGAGTATAAGAATCTGGAACAAACATGCAGAGGTGGTGTGGGACTTTAGTGCAGGCAATGTTATAATTCCTGTGAAGGTTATTTTGAATACAAGGTGGCAAAAAAATGAAAAGTAAAAAATTCCGACAGTGATGGTCGGTGCTGTCATTTTTTTCTGTATCAGCTCGTTTGCCACGCCGTACTCGTCACCTCTTGAACGTAACGTGTAATATTCCGTGTGTCTGATATTTCAAGATTATATATACTCTTGTTTGTGTCAACCGTCTAATGACATCGATGGGATATCACGAAAAGACGTATGAGCCTCTGTGCATGATCGTGTATTGTATAGTAATATTATGTATTCGTATGACGTATACACATGAAAAGACGGGCTGTCGAACACGAGATTTTTGGGTTAACATATTATTATTATTATTATTATTATGTGGGCACACTGCATGCCAATGGGTTGTATTTTGTTTTATTTTTTTATTTTTTCTCGATAAGCATTATGTAGATATCAAAACCGATAAGCGAATTGATATGATATATACACACGCGCGCATGCAAACTGCTTTTGCGGTTATGCAAACAACTATGTAAAGAGGTTTTTCGCTGCTCGCATATGGAGAGGAAAACTACGTCAACATATTATGTTGAAAAAAATACACACACACAAAATTCGTGCTCGTGTGTATGGTATTGTTGTGACGAGTCTAAAATTGGATTCCACCGATGACACTTTTTCCATTAGAGTCCCGGACAAACAGCGCGAGACAAATCGATTTTCTTCGTTGTCGTCGTCGTAGTTGTCAACCAGGCGACGATGACGGTGGATATACGTAGACCGTATATAGTAAGTCGTGTCGGATGCAGGCGACGTGTTTTATTCTTACTTGCATAATATTATTATCACTGTGACGCTTGGCCCAAATGTTTGAGTCGTGTCTGCTGTGTGAAAACGAAAGCAGAACGAAAAAAAACATAGTGTCGTTGTTATAATATTGTACAGCGGAGGTTATGTATTATGGATATGGCGTGGTGGCGCATAAGTATCATTACAAATTTCTAATAAAAAGTTCTCTCGAAACTCGCCGCTCTCGATAAAAAATTGTTCAACTATAATTCAACAATATTAATAAAGATATATAAATATGAAAAGAATGACTATCAAATTATAATATGTACCTACGACTATTTATAATTTTACATTTTATAATAATGTTTCTTGTTCATCGTTGGTTATTTACCGTTTATAAATTCCTCTCAATATGTAAAAAAATATCCAAGATATATCAAGGAGATATATATATTTATGGCATAGATTGTCTTTATTAGTTTTGTAGTAGGTATAGCAATATTGAAACAGAAATTTAAAAAATGTATTTTGAAAGAGAAGGGAGAAATTTAAAACTATATAGGTACCTACATTTTTAGGTAAAAATGCTTACTTGACATTTTTACTGTCTTAAATCTGTAAATGAAGTTATATCAAATTAATAAATATGGTGGTTGAAGAAAATAACGACACGTAGATCGGTCTCGAGAGATTTTCTTCTTATTTCATAGTTGGTTTAAACCAGGTGCAGCAGACAACCTGCCATAATACCTACTCGAGGAATACTGAAGTGATCCTGTCCCTTGACGTATGAAATAATTTCATTGTAATTTGTATATTTAAACGAGGCTAGAATTCATAATAGAACTCAGACCTTTGTAAATCAACTGCGTTTTGTTTGAAGTTATCTCCGCACATGACATATCTTGAAGTGTAATATTTAATATTTTATGCCTTGGCTGTATTTAATTGCATTTAAGACTTGTTCACGACGTAACATGAAGTATTTTAACTAAAACGTATGTAAACATATATTATAGAATTATAAACTATATTATGTTTGAATTTCAGTGTCTATTTATTAGTTAATAGGTTTACTAAAAATTATATTCATATCATTAACCTTGGTGGTTTTTACATTTTAGGTTATGGCCGTCTTATGCGAGTGCGCACAATAATTTAGGCACTCTGATGGAAAGGTCCAGGGATGCAGAACATCATTTTTTGGCCGCCATCCGATACTCACCCGGTCATGTTAACGCTCATTACAACTTGGGACAAGTTTACAGGTAACAATAAATATTATAATATCAACTCTATAAAATTTTCCTTTACACCATATTTTTTTCTTGGTAAGGGAGGGAGGAGGACTTAAACAGAAAGAAACAGATTCATGCAATTTTTTGAGTTTTGAATATCAATTTGATTGTCGCTTTAAATTCATAGCTTTAAAAATTTCCCAGTAGGTTTTTTAAAGTAATGAAATCTAAGAATTCTGTGTACGTATCTTAAAAGTTTGGGTTATGATTTCTTAGTGAAATCTATTATTATTATTATTAATTTTTTATACTACCGTTTTACTGTTAGTTAAACACATATAATAACTATCATTAAACCTACTGTTAATGGGCGTTAGGTTGATGAACCGGACAAAAGACGCAGTGACCATGCTGGAACGATGTCTCATGTTAAACAACGGTTACACAGCTGCGTACTTGCTGTTGGCGAAATTGCATACAGGAAGCCAAACCGGGCGACTTTTGAAACATGTTGCTGCCTATCAGCCTAAACACCCTGAACACCAAGCACGTTATGCTCGTTGGCTTCGTGATAACCGTGAGTAGATTTTATTATTAAACAAAAATAGATATCATATTATGAGTATTGCGCAAGTTTAAAAGCAATTTATGAAGTATTGAAAGTTATTTTTGAAAAGAAAATAGTCTCAACGCTATWCATCACCTTAGACAAAAACCATTACTATACACCAGTGGTTCTCAAGCTTTTTTGGTTCATGGCACATTATTACACATCACAAGTTTTCAYGGCACACTCAACAAAAATGTAATGAAATAAATTACTGTTAACAATATTTTACCAGCATAAATTRCAAATATCAGAAACTTCTCGCGGCACACCTAGTCGATCTCTCGGCACAGTATTTTGCCGCGGCACATCGGTTGAGAACCACTGCTATAGACCTTTTACTGTGTTAATCAAACGCTTATTATTAATATTACTGTTAAATAATTTAAATGTGGATTTTATAAAATTTGTATCCAGTTTGTTAATTTTAAATAATTTTGAAAAAAATATAAAAACAAAATATTCTATACCTACTTATTTTATCGGCATATTAATATATTATCCATCATTAAGTATTACAAATAACATATTATAATTTATAATATTCAAATTATCTGTAGTTTAATAATATAATTATGTGAATCATGTTAAACAATAATAATAATAACACAAATAATGACCAAACTCATATCAGGTAATGAATAAACATTGTAATTTTATCATCATTTYAAGAAGAATTAAGAAACTTATTTACATAAACAAAGTCAATATTAGAATAAAACAATTTTTAATAAATCGAGATCAATAGACAGTATAAGAACAACTATACTGATCAGTCCAACTTGACAATAAAGTCAAATACTAGTTTGATTTCCGTTAAACAAAATATGAATATGAATAATTAATGAGCTTATCGCAAGAAATTAGTTCCATAAACTACATTATGACTTTTGAAATTCAGTTTAAAAATCTTATAATTATTTTCTACTTATCCAAATACTATCTTAAATTTAGGATTTAGGTAGAACGTTAAAAATAAAAATTATAAACTTAAATTGCATTAATACGATTTGTTAATATATAATAATAAATTACATAAATTATATTTATTTCAAACCATTATTATCAGTTGTATTTACCATAATTAAGTTATGAATTTTYATATACCCTCAGCAATATGGGTCATTTGTTTATAAAGATATAATATTGATGTAATGTAATTTAAAATAGAACAAAATTCAAATATGTTACCTAAGTACATTTATGCGTCTATATCAAACAATTTAACTYACAAGTATATCATATACAATTTTTAAATAAAATAACAAGTAAAAATGTATTTTTATTTTATGTCATAACATACGAAACGTTCAATAAAAAATATAAGTATATATTTATAATTTGAAAGATCCCTTAAATAATATCACTAATTTGTATTGGTTAATGGTTATACTCGTRCATGTATTACGTATATACGTGACTGGTGATATTACCATCTGTATTTAAAATAAATAAAAWATATTATTATTTATACAATATACACATTATACATATTGCGTACTAGGTATATAATATTAAATAGATACGTTGTTGTAATTATGTGTATTTAAATTAAACCATATTAAAAAMCATAATATTATATAATTCTTAGAACCACAAACAGACTTGATTTTTTTTATAAATATCATAGTATAATATATTATTCTTAGAATAAAAATAAATGACTTTTCAAACTTAACCTATAATATTGTTTATTTAACTCAAATTATTTAAATCTGTCTCAGTGTTAAAAGTATGAACAATAATGGACGTCGTCTATGTGTAACTGAAAAAAAAACTTCAAATACACATAATTGGCTTCTTTAATATAAATACTATTCTTGGAAAAAAAAATCCTATTGTGAAGGACGATACGTTTTACCTTTTCCTATTTTTTTTTATAATCTGACAATGGAATTATTTTATTGAGAAAAAAACATTATTTCTCACAGAAAAGCCTCTTATGTAATCGAATATAAAGTAAGGTCAATGTTGTAATGAAGCCTTATTACGTAAGAAACATGTCATCTCATTTTAGAAAATAAAATCATAATAAATATAAAGAAGTAGTAGAAAATTCACTTAGAGTAAATTAATAAAATAATACCTCTATTCAAATAGTGGTTTGTAATAATAAATTATTTTCATCGAATAAGTAGCCCTTCTACTGAATAACCGTATGGATGATATAATAACAGTGTAACGTTTCATAACATATTTTAAAATATTCGTAAAATGCCATTTAATGTTAATTTATTCTCTTAATATTGAATTGATTAAAATATAATTTGCATATTTATTAATTAATTTGATATAATATTGAAGACAATAACGTTAATATTATTTTAGTAGGTACTTATATCTAATTCAATAATTGTTTTCCAGGTCGAGTGGCTGAGGCTTTAATTTATTATAAACGAGCCATGGCTGTGAATATGGAACACAGGGAGTCTGTTTTGGGCTTGGCTCTTGTACTTAGAGACCGAGGACAAAAATCCAGAGTTTACAGACTTATCACATGGTGAGATACATCTTAAAAATTAAAATTAAACAGAAATAACTTTATTTCAACAGTCATTAATGTTTATAAATATTTCATAACTTTGAAGTATGATATATATTATTTAATAAATATATTTATTTATTTAATATCTATCATTTTCAATGATAATATAAAATTAATGAATTATTGATATTTTCTTTTACTATCAAACATCGTTATTTATTTTATACTAATAACAAAAATAATAATAATCTTGGAAATAAACAATTTTTATTAATAATTTCAACGATTTATCGTACAAATAAAAATAGTGGTTTTAGGTTATTTGATATTTTTTCATTTCTTACATTTTTTTAATTTAATATAATATGTGACCTTAATTTAGAATAAAAATATGAGTATTATGTTTGTTGTTATGCAAACATTTTTGGTTATAAGTAAATAAAATATTAATTGAACTTTTTTATAATATACTACTCAAAATRAACTTTTATCAATTATATTACGTAACTTTTAAAAATAAAACATAAGAAATCATATTTCCAACTAACATTTTTTTTTATATACCTACTAACAATTTTATATTGGGTTAATATAAAATGTTATTTACATAATTATTTGTGTTAATATTTCCAATTACAACTAATTACATTTTATTTTTTCAATTATTATTCATGTACGTACTTGTATATTGTGTTAAAATATTTATACTGAACTTAATTATTATACAATTGTCCATGTGATATAACAATATACATAGTTAATAAAATTTATATAATTATAAAACCAATTTTTTTATACAAAAAGTAACAAAAGATTTGTACGATTACTTGTGAATAATACTTAATATTATACTTTATAACTATGTTTTCATTATTAAATTATAGAATTTTTATTAAATATATAAGATTAAGGTGGGGTGATCTTAATTCGGGAAATTATAAAAAAAAATATATAATCATAATGGTTTTTTAATATTTTCAAATAATACAAAAGAATTAAATATGTTTTTTGTGATGATTTTTAGTATTAAAATCACAATTATTGACTTATAATAACGGTTAAATATTTTTATCTGATAACATCATTTCTTTTTCTAAATGTTAGGTTTTACGTTATCAAGATAATTATATATTATTAAAAACTTTTATACCTAACCTATGATTCAATTTTTTTTCCAATAATTGTATTTTATACCTTAATAATTATTTTTACAGTACATAAATATTAAGAATATACCTACAATCAATGTTATTTATCCTCTTAAATAATACTAGAACAAATTTTATATTTTTTGCCCCTAATAAATATATAGGGAGTGACATTTATTTTGAACAAGTAACGGTTATTTTGTTTTGTTTTAAACTATCATGAAGAACTCTAATTCATTTATCAAAAAAAAATAAATATTTAGCGATGAAGAAATTATATGATTCATATAAGTCCTTCCTCAAAAAAGTCACTCAACATCTTGCAGTCACCTAAACAAAAACTTATAGACCACTCATTAAAAACAAAGAAAAAATCTCTCAATATTAAACTCTTAATCTATGTACTAATTTTCCACCAATTATATGGGGAAACAGCCAAAACATCCAATATTAAAATATTACCATAATGACAGTCCATTAACTTTCACCTCATTACAGATGTTACCAAWGTAAATTAGCAATTTCTAACTCTGTGCTCAAAATCACAACCATTCRTAAACAATTTCAAAAAAACACATTCGACCATTAAAGTCCACTAATTTACAACCTCTCCTACCATATCCTTTCTGATAACCCTCCAAGAACACAGGTTAAAGTTATAAAATTAGATCCTCCCATTACCATCAACCCATCCAGTCCTGTATACTTGAGGCCCCCTCTATCATACGAACAATTGTATATATTTAAATTACAAGACTGTAAATACATGTTTTGTTTTTTCTAATAAAAAATAAAATGCAAATAACATCATATTACATAATTTTTCCAATGTTAGCATAATTAATAATTTTCACCAACTAAGCCAATAAATGTAATATATATCTATAAGTATTTCAAAATAAATAAATGTATACCTATAATAATATAAAATAAAATATTATATTATTGCTTAATCACGGTAAATTATCGTTGAAGAGATAAATCGTTATTTCATAAAATATTTTATAAGTGTATAATGATTATTTGTAGTTCAAAATATAATAAAGTATGAATTATGTTTTATCAGTATAAACTATAAAATATCTATTTATATTTTATTATTAAAGATGAAATTTATGATCAATGTTTATTTTTATATTTTCAACATAACAATTATCCATCACACATATCATTTTTCTATTCATTCATTTTTTGTACATCTTAAAACATTATTATTTAGTAGAAATTTAATGAATTATTGAATAGTTTAATCGAATTCAAAAGTTAAAATGGGTTATATTTGAAACCTATAGATCACAAAACCTGCAGCCCATGTAAAGCTTGGTTTTAATAAAGCAATACAAATTGTGCTCTATATTTTATATGAAAATATGATAAATATGACGTAGATGCCTGCAAATATTTTTTTTTTTTTGGAAAATCATGTTTTAGTAGGTATAATAGTAATAGTAATACAAGTCATTAATATAGTAGTGGTCCGTGATTCGTTCGTACAATCCCTATAAGATGACTGAAAATAAATTGTTTTGTAATTACTTTATTGCCATATTTTAAACAACAATACATTTGAATTACATTTTTTTCCACCATTCGTCGAGCTCGCATAGTATATCGTACAAATCGTATATTATTAAAGTTGTATTTAGCACACATGCAGGGATGCAATGCCACAACCCGTGTGTTGTCCGTACCCAACGTACGGATGGAGGCGGATTTTTCATCGTAAATCTAATTGAACCTTATCCGCTTGCGRTGGACAATACGCAAAAGCCCTAATAATTATCAGTGGTCCGTCGACCTTTGTTGTGTTGCAGGTGGCAGACGACGAGACGCAGACACTCGGTACCCGGCGGCGGTCGGATCGTGTTCGCTGGCGATCTCTACGTCAAGGGATGGCAGCTTTACAAACAGGGCCAAACCACGGCGCCGCTACCTTCAGCCGGCGAGCCACCACCACGACAACGCAACACCGACGGAAAAATGTCAATGTGTAACGTACGTTTATAATTTTCACTACAATAGTAAAAATAAATATTATGGCGCGCATATTATTATTAGAGTGTCGTTGACATTGGTTTTGTACAAATRGGTTAAGCATGTGCGGGAGAGGACGCACTGATCCTCATAGTGTTGCTCAGGGGTAGCCAAATTGCGACTCTTGGAATAGCCGTATAGTCGTATACCTACAGCCAGCGTCTTATTAAAAGAAAAAAAAAATTTACTTACTAACGTTAAAATACGATATAATTCTAAAAATTCTAAAATGTATATTTATAAACATTTTGTGTCTTAATACCATTGTATTTATCCATGTGGCTCGTAGACGTATTCATATTGGCCACACTTGGTATAGGTACTAGTTTCGTTCTCATTACCTCCTCTCCATCTCGAGTACCACCGAAAATGTATGTTTTCCAAAAAACCACGCGTCATACCCCTTTGGAACAATTATAATACACTATACATTGGATGTAAAGATAGTGAAAACTACAATAATCAGTACATTTACAAGAAAATAATTTCAAGATAGAAAGAATAATTAACCACAATAATAGTATGGTGTTTTTGCTCACAAATATTATACTTGATKACCTTTTAAAAATGTATAATTTTGTATCGGACGAAAAGGTTCCATTGTGTGGGGTTCGTTTAAAATCATGTACGGTGCTTTTTGTGAAATTTACAACAAAATAAATAAGACATTAAATCCCTAATTTTTAAAATGATTTTTATTTTTACACTAATGAAAAAACTGTTATAATAATATTATACAAGTTGATTATTTTAAAATTAAACTTTTATTTTTCAAAGAGTGTCTATTAACATTTTGAGAAATATATTGTGTTACATAATTATTTAAAGTTATGCAAAAACAAATTTTAGCCCAATTATTTTTAGTTAAATTTTCCGAAGCAGAATATTTTTCTAATAATTTGAATAAATAGTTTGTCTTAAAAAAAAAAAAAATTGTATTGGAATAATGATAATACCAGTATATCATCACTAATAATACCATCGATGCGCCAAATACTAAAATATAATCAAATGTGAATACTAACCGATATCATTTTAGGATAATGAAATCTAAAAATAAATTTATGAAAACGTCTTAATTGATATCGAACTATTTAAAACACGTGAGTGCGTGTAATGTACACATATTAAAAATATTATAAGAGCCGATACAAAAAACGGTGATTATATTATTTTTATTWTTTTTATGGTTAGGGCTTCGACAACTGAGGTCATTAGCCTGGGGAACTGTAGGGGAAGGAACTGAAAGGTTTTAACTCTGTAAGGTTTTGGCAGAATTTTGAATGGGCACCCGTGGGTTTCTGCCATGCCCGGTTGGGGGCCGGCGGCCTCTCTCTCCAGACATCGCGAAATGCCCAAAGAGCGATGCCGTCCATGACCGAGATTCGAACCGGCGACTGCGTGCGTCGCAACCGACGCCTTAGTCCGCTCGCCAACTCCACCCCCAATTTTTTATTGTCATTTTATTTAAGTTACTTTTTTTAAGCTGATGGGTACATTTTGTTCGGTTTTATACAATACTTTGGTATAGATACGGATTAAGAGATATTTGAAAAATCTTTTATTAAATGGTTTACCAAAAAAACACACGTTAACCCTATTATAGGGGTTTGAGTGTTTGGACCTAATAACATGGGTGTTTATTGTTATTTTTTTCGAAAGAAGTAAGATATTTATYATACAGAATCAAGAAACCATTTTTTTTTAATTTTTTTAAAATAAAACATACAGTCAATTTAAATGGCATTAATGATGTAAAAAATGATTTATTTTATCTACATATTTCAATTATTTAAAAATAAACAGGTTTTAATTAATTACTTTATACTGACTATGGTAGTGACGCCATGCTGCACTCATTTTTTCGTTGTCGGGTTTTTTTTTTTTTTTTTAATCCTACATCGATTAACAATTATTATTATAATTTATGTGTTTGGCTTAAAAAAAAAATTAGCTCCTTCTACATCGTAATATTACTATATAGTAGGTACAGCTCATCGTCGTTGTAAATACGATAATGTGATAAAATAAAAAAGGAACATCAGCGAGAATTCGAAGTACACCGATCCCTACGTGTTATACCACGTATAATATAACCGCCGGCCAAGAATTGTATTTAATGAGCTAGAATTTTTAAAACGGAGTTAATTTAAACTTTTTTTTTTAAATTTTAACGAGCTATTTTTTTAATTATTTGCTTCTAAAAAATAAACGAGTTTTGTTTAAAAAGTTTATTTAGTATTTAATCAAGTTAATTCATTTTTTGTTACTTTAACTTTTATCCTCCCAGCCGTACCGATAAAAAGTAGGTATCTGAAATTATGCAATTATACTGTATCCTTTGTCGACATACGGTCCATAGCTGAGTGAATATTTTAATCTGTTAAGATGTCATATAATCTACTTGAACGATAGGTATAATTGTTATGTGAGTTGATGTGTTAAAACTAATGTACTTGTTTAAGAAAATTAGTGTTGTTTCATACCTAATGCAACACAATAATTATTATAATATGTATATTTCATAGTATTATAAATTCAATGTTTTTAATTGTCAATGAAAAATCTTTATAARTTTTAGCATCATCTTTGTTGCTACTCATTAAATATAATAAAATATACTACAACATTAATTTATCTCAATAACACCCAATTCAATAAACGACCGAAAGTCTATTTGTGAAACTATTGGTAATCGTTATCATTATAAGTATTTTTTCTAATAAAAATTGGAACCTTTCGTGCGTATCATAGTTTTTCAAAAATATAGTTATGGCGTCTCGAGACATAGCTGGTATATGTGTGAACAGGATAATTGGTATACATCATAATTAACATTTTTTAATATTTTTAGTTGGACAAAATAAATATAATATCAAATGTTTGATATTATGTATAGTTAAAAAAATATTTAAAAGTTGACTCTTCCTTTAAAATTCATAAGTATTATTTCAATTGCACTGTTTACTTTGGGACTTATGATACTTATAAATACCTAAAATCATTAAGAAGGCTCATGTTTTAAAATATCTAAAACTAAAAACTGCCTAGATCGAAAAAAACTATTAAAATGTTTACAACAATAGTAAATTAATTTTAAGAAATATTTTAAATTCATATAGTATCATTTTTTTAAAATAATAGTGTCTATTGGTTGCTGCCGTTTTTGATGCCGATTACGAAAAAACGAAAAATAAAAATTTTTTTCTTATAATGTAGCCAAAATATTTTACAGTTTCACTGAACAAACATAAAAATATTTTTTTTAAGTTTTTTGGAAGACATTGGGGTAGGAGGAGGAGTCAATACTCCCTAGATTCCTTCAATTGGTTCTCCTGAATATAATAGTAGGTACTCTCTCTGCATCCGAGTACCTTGAAATTATAAATATCAAGATAGGTATTGATTTCAAACACATTCTCCATATTATTATAATGCGTTATTATAATATTTCTTCGTATAAAATATAGGTTTCTTTTACCGCGACTACCGTTGGACAAATAATTTTTAATACTAAYTTTATCAAGTTATCGTCATTATAATATTATATTTGCCGATAGGTACTTTCCGCAAAGCATATCGCAGTCAATTTTACTTATTTTTCTCAACCAGTGTGGCATCTTATGAATGATATTATTATATTTGTTGGTACCGTGCGCTATATTATATTATTACACATTTTTAGGCACGACTGCAGATGCTACTGTAATGAACCATGACGTTTGTATCCGTGTGTCTGAAAACATTATGAGACGAGCCCTTTAACGACATCGAGCTTTAGTGTGTGTGTGTGTGCCTGTGTGTGTCTGTGTGTGTGTATGTGTGTGTGTCTGTGTCTGTGTCTGTGTGTGTCTGTGTCTGTGTGTCTGTTCTGACAATGTWTGACGTACCTATAATACTTCTCGTAGGTTATATCGTGCACAGTAACGAATAAAGTAAAATAATAATTTATATACGAGTCACGTGAAATAAAAAAAAAAAGTGATATTACATGAACATTGTATCTAGAACCACAACTAACCAGAATTACGTGAAAAGCAATACGCACAAGATACGTACAAGAAACCATAGACGCAGATGGCTATAATAATAGCACTGGGGAGAAAAATTGCTTTAAGAATAAATTGAATAATATTGTCGTCTACAAGGTAATAGGAATTTTTATTCTAGTCATCGCAACTAATTTTTTCGTAAAAACAAGACAAGTTTATTTTATTGAAATTGACAATCAATAATATTTTATTCTAAGCGTTAGACCTAATCTAATCCAATAACATACATGTCAAATGTAATCAGTTATAGTGTTATTTCTATAACTAATATAAAATTAATATAAAACTAATATAAATGTCCGATTTGGTAAATTACAAATATTATTGATGAAGATTGATATTAATTAACCGCTACAATATTTTTTTTTTTTATTATTTTTATTATTAAGAAAAACAATTTGCAATCTTTATAAATAATCATCTACTACCTAATTAAATCAGTCGTTTGAGAAATCCCATTTGTATCGAAAGTCAAAATCCAAACTTAAGTTTCCAAAACTAAAAAAAATCATATCCTGAACTATTAAGCTTAGGTTTAATGGTTGCAACTGTTGGGATTCTCTTAAAATGTTTTGGTGGATCTGCATAACACGGAGATTCAAAAATCACAATAAAATGTGATGACGTATTTGAGGACAAGATGAGTTTTTCACAACACTAATTCATATAATATATTAAAACATATTTTGTATTTCTTAACTGTAATATTACACCATGTCGTTATATGATTATGTATAATTATAAACTCTTATAATAGTTACAAACGGATTGATATGATCACTTTTGTGTTTGATCCGTTTGAGGCAATGTTGTCAATTCATATCTATTGACAGATTTCTGCTTCTACATTCAAAATAATTTAGAACTATTATTAGTACCCATATGATGATTGAAAAATCAATGCTGGGT